GCATGCGTGCAGCCCGGGTTCAATCCTCAGCACCACATACAAACAAAGATGTTGTGTCTGCCGAAAACTAAAAAATAAATACTAAAATTCTAAAAAAAAAAATTGTCAGATGACCATACTAGTGATAGTTAATTTGTAAATGAAAACAGTAACTACAAACTTAGGTTACACTAGATTAACAACAACCTGTGTGTTTACGTCCCCCAGCCCTCCTTCCCCAGGGCCTCATGCATGCTATGTAAGCACTTAAAGAGCTATCCCGGCCCTTTTAAAATTTTTGAGAGAGGTACTCACTAATTTGCATAGGCTAGCCTTGAATTTGTGATCCAGAGCCTTTCGTGTAGCTGGGATTATGTGTGTGTGCTTTGTAATTAATTATATCAGTAGGCTTTAAGTTGTTTAAATTACATAAGAATTACTTCTCTATAAGTATTTTGTAATGATCAAAAGCTTTGTATACACCAAACTTTTATTACCAAAAGCTCCATCTTTTTTCCCAAATGCCAATCCAATAATGAGAAAAAGGAAAAAGTGTTATTGTGTTGCTAACAAAGGACAAATATAGGGACTTCTGTCTCAGAGACTGTGATTTTGACTCTCAGRGGAAACCAGAGGACTTTTAGAGGTGATTTAAAGGCTACATTTCAGCTGTGACTTGTCAGAGATCATGATTCATTTGTAGACTTTCAAGATAGTCATATCTTTAGTCTTCTGGCACCTTCCTGAAGTCTGAATTACTTTATTCCTGTGGTGTGTGTGTGTATTTAAGAACAGATAACTTGGCCTAGAACAGGAAAAAGGGTAAGCTTGCTTTCTACCAGGGTTAGTGAGGGAGCAAGGGAAGAAAAGAAGTGGGGGAAAATGTCAGTTTTAAATTAAGCTGCAGTGGCAAAGCAGCAAGGGTTATGTTCAAAGCATGAAATGGACCCTCATTACACTTTGCTTCCAAAATAAAACAAGTTATTCTGTCAGAACTTTTTCGACCCTYGCTTCCCCACTTTTGAGATTTCTACAAGTATATTAAGTGATAGATTTTGTTGGAGCAGACAAATACATCATATCTTTTTATCTCCACAACAACCTGTGAGGAATGTGATGGCTTTTACTTTAGAGGAAACAGGGTCAGTGAGATTTAGTGACCTATCCAAGGTGAAACAGCACAACCAGTTGTGTCTGTTGCCAATGTAAGATGATTTATAAATGGGGAAATAAAGATTATTAAGAAGGAAAAATCAGAGCTACAAAGAAGAGAAGTTATAGGATTAGGTTAAAATTATTTTAATATCTGAAACTTAAATTCTTGCTTTTGATTCTCACTGTAGTCCTKGTAAAATACCCTAGGAAATAATATTATTCTCACTTTATAGGTGAAGAAASTGAAATCTGAAGAAAGATTATTATGTACCTAGAATCACAGTGGTAGGTGAAGGAAAATAATTCAGATTCTCTGATGCTCAGCCAGGGGTCTGTTTCTACATATTGGTAAAGGACAAATCTAATAAAATAATTCTTAGCTCTGGTTGCATATTTTTCCTAGAGAGGTTTGGAGAAATACTTATGACCTGGGCCTCATATTTAGAGGTGCTCATTTAATGAGTCTGAGGTGAGACTTGGTCTTTGATGTTTTTGTGATTCTGTTATGCAGTGAAGATTGATTGATGGAAAGTCTGATAGATTGAAAGTTAACTGTAAAAAGTTCAGACCTCACTACTGTGCCTACTACTATGGTACCCAAGGAAAGATTATTTTAAGAATAGAAATTTTAGCAACTCTGGAGGTGCCGGCAAGAAGATAGCAAGTTCAAAGCCAGCCTTAACAACTTATCGAGGCCCTAAGTAACGTAGCAAGACTGTGTCTCAAAATCAAAAATAAARAGGGCTGGGGATGTAGCTTAATGTTTCAGTACCCGTCCAGTCCCTGGTACCAAAAGAAAAAAGAAAAACCACCTCTAGCAACAGGGTAAAATTGAAAAAGCCTTGAAAACTAATGTAATACTGTTTTCATAGTGGGTAAATTTTAGACAAATATATGACCTGAGTTTCCAGAAATTGCTTTAATATGTTATCTTATGCTATATAAATTCTGTATACTTAGATCAATTCCATAATTAAGAGTAGGCTTTCTCTCAATACCATTTGTTTTCTTGTAGGACCTATACAAATCAGCTTTCTTCTATTTTGAGGGAACATTCTACAATGATAAAAGATACCCAGAATGCAGAGATTTGAGCAGGTATAGTTTACAAAAATTTTCTCTAAGTCCTTTCCTTTTTCTACTTCTAAAAACAGATAGCTCCACAAATCCTATTATTAGTCCATTAAGGATCTTTGCCAAGGAATTTTATGAATTTCATATTGAAATTACACATATCTAAAAAAAAATTAGGTCTAAGACTAAGATTTTATTAGTCTCCAGTTTTTATGTTTAAACTCTTTCTTCTGCTTGTTCAGAAGATACTGTTGTTTGCCCTAGGTGAATGAATATATAATGGTGTTTTGGTATTTAACATAAAAATTTACCTCTAGTACCATTTTATTTATTTTTTTAAATATATATTTTTTTGTTGTCGATGGACACAATACCTTTATTTTATGCATCTTTATGTGGTGCTGAGGATTAAACCCAGGGCCTCACACATGCAAGATGAGTGCTCTACCACTGAGCCACAGCCCTAGCCCACCTCTAATACCATTTTAATTAGACCATACTTCCATTATCAGTGTTCTCATGGTAAGACCCTACATTTGTATTTTTTCTGAGCAGTTAATATAAATGCTTGCTTTATAGCCCCCACCCTTCCCACATTTTTGTGGTACTGGAGATCAAACCCAGGGTGCTGTACCACTAAGATGTGTTCTTAGCCCTTTTTATTTTGAGACGGTCTCACTAAGTTGCTGAGGCCAGCCTCAAACTTGTAGTCTGCTTCAGCCTTCCTAGTAACTGAGATTACACATGTGTACCACTGTACTTGGCCTCAGTATATATTCTAGTACAGCAGTTCTCAAACTTGGTCTTAGCKCCCCTTCATGGGGTAAAAAGTTGAGGTTCCCAAAGAGCTATCACTTATGGGTTATAGCTGTATCTATTATATTAGAAATTGTGAAACTAAGAAATATTTAAGATAGTTAATCTTGTTACATTTACATTTTTGTGAAAAATACRTTGTCCAAAATAAAATGAGAAGAGTAGCATTGTTAGGTATTTTGCATTTCAAGCTGAAGTGATAAGCATCACCCAGCYTCCAGTTGGTTGGTTGTAAGAGGATGAGATAAGGCTTAGTATGATTTTGACCTCAGGGACCACACTTTGAGAACTGATACTAACAGATGAAGAAAATTCATTGTGTCTGATTCCAGAATGTATATACTGATATGCTCTTCCTGTCAAGGTGGCATCTGTCCAGTTAATTGGATGAGCCAGCTGATGTGAAATTCAGCTGCCACTAATCCTTTCCTAATTTCTGTGGAGCARTGATAGATTCTGGCATTTTTTTTCTTCCCTCAGAACTATCATTGAGTGGTCAGAGTCCCATGATAGAGGATATGGAAAGTTTCAGACAGCTAGAATGGAAGATTTTACCTTCAATGACCTGAATATTAAGCTGGGTTTTCCTTACTTATATTGTCACCAGGGAGACTGTGAACATGTTGTTGTCATTACAGACATAAGGTAAGTGGCAGCACATTTTGTTATTCAATTTTCTTCTCTTTATTTCACACTATAAAAGCACAAGTAGGTTTTTTTTTGTTTTTTTTTTTTTTTTTTTTAATAAAAGGAATCATCACTGCAGCTTGGCTTGGGAGAGGCAAAAAATGTCTTGTTTTCCATGTAGTGACCAATTCTTTGTGTCCATTTGCATCTTCAAGAGATACTTATTACTGGTTTAAAAATCTGTAAATTCTTTTAAAAGTTTCTCCATTTGTATATAAAGTGTTTTCATCCATTCTGTATATCATGTAGGCCCTTTGCTTTATACATGTTGCTACTATGTGGATATTCCTAGGTTTCTATTTTTCATTTTTCTCTCTGGTGCTGGGGAATCAAACCTGAGACCTCATGCATCCTAGGCAAGTGCTATATCACTGAACTACACTCCCAACCCCAATTCTTAAGTTTTTTGTCTTTTTGCCAAAACTCAAAAAGAAGAGAATTGGAGCTGGGTATAGGCATATGCCTGAAATTCTAGCGACTTGGGAGACTGAGACAGGAGGATGGATTGCAAG